CTCCTGCCTTGGGCAGGGGTACCGTGTGTGTGTGTGGGTGTGTGTGTGGGTGCACCTCCAAGGTCCCTTCCAGCCATATGATTTTGTGGTCCTGAGCCTAGTGAATCCATGACAGGGCAGGGCCAGGCTCTGAATCCATCAGGATTGACTCTCCTTGCTTATTCTGGAGTCATCCCTCCTGAGTCATTCACCTTTGGCACAGTGTGCCAAGCAAGAAAAGTGTGTTGACTCTGCAGGCATGGCTGCTAATGGTGGGTGAGCATGTGAAGAGAGATGCCAGGGTGTAGTGCCTGGGGTCTGGAGGGACCCCACAGTCTTGGGTCTCCGCCTGCTGATGTTAACTAGCTAGGTAGTGAAACGTCTTGAAGAAGACAACTGACCTTAGACAGCCCTCCACCCCTCTTCCTCCTCTTCACACACTCAACTCCCTTCCACCACTGATGATGTTACATAGTTGGGTAATAAAATATCTACAAGAAAACAACCAGCGTCAGACCGCACCATGGATCCCACAGCCTTGCCCCTGTTCCTCCCCATCTTCCCTTCCTCCTCCTCTCTGTAAACCCCACTCCTTTTTGGATTGATGATGTTACCTAGTTGGGTAATAAAATATTTATAAGAAAACAACCAACTTCAGACAGCACCATGGATCCCACAGCCCTCCTCCTCCTCTTCTCTCCAAACCCCAATCCTAGGATTGATGATGTTACCTAGTTTGGTAATAAAACGTCTGCAAGAAAACAACCAAGCTCAGAGAGCACCAAGGACCCCATAAAACACAACCTGATAAGATTTATTAACAACTTCTGTAAACAGGGTTTCGTTTACAGAACTCAATGAGATTCGGGACATTTATTTGAAAGAAAGCCCTTGAAGGAGCTAAATTATACTATCAAATCCCAAAGTGTGCAAAGACTTCAGAAAAAGTATTTCATCATTTTTTCCCCTTTTGCTATCATTAATGGAGGAAGGTTTCACAGGTGAATTATCATCATAGTTTGCTAAAATTGGCAATGCTCTTACGAAAACAGCTTCTCAACTTCAGTACCTTGAAAATTTCTGGGTTTCAACTCCCAGACTGCCCCAGAAACCATTGCGGGACTTCAACTCCCAGAGTTCCCTTCTCCCGACAGGGCCGAGCCTCTGCCCCCCCACCTCGGCCAATAGGAGCAAAGAAGGAGAGGTTCCGCTGCTTCGGATTGGAGGAGCAACCTGCCACTCGGAAAGCGCCCCCCTCCCCCGCATGAGCCTGGATGAGTCTCGCGCGCTGCGTTTGCTGGCTGCAGCGAGCTGGGAAGAAGATCTTGGGGACTCGTCACTTTGGTGCAATCATGCCGGTAGACTTGAGCGGCTGGGGAGGCTCCTTAAACCTCCCGGAGGTGGAAGACAAGCCGGCGCAACCTCTGCGGGTCCGCTACGGGTCGGTGGAAATCGAGGAGCTCGGTCAAATACTTACACCGACCCAGGTAGTAAGGGCCGCCTGCGCTGGGGACGTCCCGTTGTCGTCCTTTTGGGCGGGAGCTGGGGCTTTTGCACAACCCCTCTTAAAATTAGGGGACCCCCGCCCAATAAAGGAGCTCGGAAACGCTCCTCTTTGCAGGATTCAATTCATGGGCTGATCTGCATCTGGATCATTTCGGGGCATTATAGATTTTCTCTTCCCCCCCCCCCTCTAAATGTGCAATTCCGTTATATAGGATCCCGCAGTCTCCCTTGTTGCAAATTTGCCAACGTGCCACAATTGCAACCGGGAGGCAAGTCCCGTTTGGATGCTCTCTCGGGGACTCGCGTTATTTGCAAGGGAACCCCTAATAAATAAATTTTAAAAAAGCATGCATCTGAACGTATATAAATCCAATTAACCTAACCTAATCTAACGTGCATTATGGTCTCCAGCTTGGCCGCATGACCCCTTAGGAGGCCCGAGAATCCTGCATGGCCTTTTGGGGAAGAAAAAAAAAAGGCACGCGATCGTTTTTTAATGCAAACGATTCGTTGCAAAATTGTTGTTGTTTTAGCCTGGCCTTAAAAATAGAAGAGAGAAGAGAGCAAAGTGCAATTTGGAAAGAAGAAAAAAGGCCACCCTAAAAATACAAAGGCGGCCATGGCCAAGTTGGCATCTTCCCAAAGAGAGGCGGAGACCAGCAAGCAAAGCGGCTGGGGGTGGGGGCTCAGTTCTCCCCGTTCCCTCGTTTGCAAGGCCGGTGCAAGGCTCGGGAGCGCGTGCCCGCTGGGAGGTGAAGGCCGCGCGCAGTTGCAACATTCGTGGAGGCGTATCTGGATGAGAGTTGACACCACAGTTTAATTTCTAACCCAAAAGGTGGCTTGTTTTTCTTTTTTTAATCCAACCGGGTTCCACACTTGCAGATGTCCAGCTCTCCCATGTTTTGTCACATCGATTGCCTTTCAATATAATTGTGATGATGTAAGGTTTGAGAATAAGTTTTAGACCCATAGAAGTTTGAGCATACATCCAAGTCACAATGAGAATAGAATAGGAATAGAATTTAGAATGGAATAGAATAAGAATAAATAAGAATTAGAATAATTATCAGGATTAGAAATTGGAAATAGAAATAGAATAAGAAATAGAAATGAATAGAATTGGAATAGAATAGAAATAGAATAAAAGAGAATGGAATAGAATATGGAATAGGAATAGAATAAGGAATAGGAGTAGAATAGAATTAGGAATAGAATAAGGAATAGGAATAGAATAAGGAATAGGAGTAGAATAGAATTCGGAATAGGAATAGAATACGGAATAGGAATAGAATAAGGAATAGGAGTAGAATAGAATTAGGAATAGGAATAGAATATGGAATAGGAATAGAATAAGGAATAGGAGTAGAATAGAATACGGAATAGGAATAGAATATGGAATAGGAATAGAATAAGGAATAGGAATAAGAATAGAATACGGAATAGGAATAGAATACGGAATAGGAATAGAATAAGGAATAGGAGTAGAATAGAATACGGAATAGGAATAGAATACGGAATAGGAATAGAATATGGAATAGGAATAGAATAAGGAATAGGAATAGAATACGGAATAGGAATAGAGTAAGGAATAGGAATAAGAATAGAATACAGAATAGGAATAGAATACGGAATAGGAATAGAATAAGGAATAGGAGTAGAATAGAATACGGAATAGGAATAGAATAC